GGAGTCTTAATTTCAAGAATCGATTTGAGAGTTTTTTATAATTTTAACAAAATGCATCTTTTTTCTATCTCTATTCAATCATTTTAGTTTAAAATTATCAATTTATCTTCAATAGTTAACCTTCTTACATATTACAAAATTTAAGCTCAAATGAGTTAAGTATTAAAATAGGTATGAATTAAAATAAAAAAAACAAGCCACTTTGATCCAAAAATGCTAGGAAGTCTGAGCATTCTTAGAGATTGAACCCAATTGATTTGGACCTTTAATATATCTTTGGAAATTTGGTTGGGCCATGAAATTTGATTCCATTGTTGACAAGTCAATTTTTTTTTTTTTGAAAAGTGTTAAATTAATTTCATAAATAGAGTTTAATGCCGATTGATCAGATTGGAACAAAAAAAGTCAACCCTACAAAAGAGTGCAAATATATTTTAAAAAATTTACAATTATATGTAATCTCGTTTGAAAATTGAGTTTTTAATAATTTATTTTATAAAGTAAAAAAAAATTAATATTTTTGAAAATGATTTTTTTACTTGTATTGAAAATCGTAAATTATTAAAATATTTATTTTTTAATAAATTTTTAACTTATTATTATATTTGACCTTTAAATATTTTAGTCAAAAGTTAATTTGTCTAATGAAACTTACAGCTGTGTTTGGTTTGACTTTGGAATCATTATGTCAAAGTCAAAATTTTCAAATCACTTTTCAAGATTCATAACAAACATACAATTCTACAAAAGAGTGCAAATATATTTTAAAAAATTTACAATTATATGTAATCTCGTTTGAAAATTGAGTTTTTAATAATTTATTTTATAAAGAAAAAAAAATTAATATATTTAAAAATAAATTTTTTACTTGTATTGAAAATCGTAAATTATTAAAATATTTATTTTTTAAATTTTTTTTAACTTATTATTATATTTGACCTTTAAATATTTTAGTCAAAAGTTAATTTGTCTAATGAAACTTACAGCCGTGTTTGGTTTGACTTTAGAATCATTATGTCAAAGTCAAAATTTTCAAATTACTTTTCAAGATTCATAACAAATATACAACTCAAAATTATTCAAAACTCAATTCAAAAATTAATTTCAAAACTCATAATTAAACATACAACTTAAAAATTAATTCAAAACTTTTTTCAAAACCAAACTCTTTTCAAAGCTTTATTTTAAAAGAAAAAAATCAAAATTTTTATTTTATTTTATTTTTTTAAAATTATTTTTAGAATCATGATTTGAGTTTTAATTTAATTTAATTTTGCTTTTTTAAAGAAGTTTGCCCCCACAGTCAAAATGCATGCAACTCCCCACACCTAAAAGCTGCAAATAAGAAAACAATTCAAAATGATATTAGGTTAGAGATGTATGATGTTTGTCTGTACATCACCGGATTAATAATATTAAAGATAGTATTAATATATAAAATTAATGTTTTTTAATTTCAGTATTTTTTTTAATATTAGAAATTTTTTAAAAATTATTTTTTTATTTTAAATATTTTATTTTATTTTATAACTATATTTTTAATCATTTTAATTTTTTTGTTAAGTGTTGGTTATGATTTGAGTGTAAAGTTTTGAAAGTAGTGTAAAGTTTTGAGTTATATATTTGGTTATGAATTTGAAAACTTGTCTTCTTCGAACATATGCACTACCGGTGAGCAGTCATCGATTTTTTGCCTCCCTCCGATCATGTCCCTTCTTCATAAATTTTATGTTCAAACTGAACAAAATGCCAACAAAGCCCATATAAAGGCTACCTCTATTTAATTTTTTTTTTTTAAATTCAGAAACTTTGAAAATTCCATCCTTTCTTCCATACATTCAATCCTCATTCATGTCTAAGTTCTTGTGAGCGAAAAGCATAATTCTGATTAGTTAGACAATCAAAGAGAGTGCTATATTTGCTTGTGGTGATTGTTATATTCTGGAGACAGGGCGTTCGAATTTTTCAATCACTATTGCAGAGGATGTAATTATGTCTTAAAAACACAATATTTAAATATTAGTCTCAATCACAATCTTTTAATCAATCTACAAAAATTCTATAAAATTAAATTTTGTTATTTATTTTATTTACTTAAATTGATTTTTGCTGAAACTTATTCCTACACAAACATACTCGGGCTGCCAAAGACAAGTTTTCCTTGCTTAGGCTACACATATCTTGTTTTAGGGTTGTTTGTATGTAGCATTTCCACCTAGGTGGTGATAACATGTCGTAAATTAACTTGCGAAATCATTTGTAAGTCAATTTCTCTCAACTTATTAAAAAATATTTTATGTCAAATTTGGGCAACTAAAACACCAAAAATTCATAAAATATTTTATGCAAAAATATTTTGCAATTAAACAAATGGAGTCTTAATGTGGTATTTTAGATTTAATTTCAACAATCGATTTGAGAGTTTTATATAATAATTTTAACAAAAAGAATCTTTTTTTCTATCTCTATTCAATCATTTTAGTTTAAAATTATCAATTTATTTTCAATAGTTAACCTTCTTACAATATTACAAAATTTAAGCTCAAATGATTTAAGTATTAAAATAGGTGTGAATTAAAATAAAAAAACAAGCCACTTTGATCCAAAAATGCTAGGAAGTCTGAACATTCTTAGAGATTGAACCCATTTGATTTGGACCTTTAATATATCTTTGTAAATTTGTTTGGGCCGTGAAATTTGATTCCGTTGTTGACAAGTCAATTTTTTTTTTTTGAAAAGTATTAAATTAATTTCATAAATAGAGTTTAATGCCGATTGATCAGATTAGGAACAAAAAAATCAACCCTACAAAAGAGTGCAAATATATTTTCAAAATTTTACAATTATATGTAATTTCGTTTGATAATTGACTTTTTAATAACTTATTTTATAAAGTAAAAAAAAATTAATATATTTGAAAATAATTTTTTTTACTTGCATTGAAAATCGTAAATTATTAAAATATTTATTTTTTTAATAAATTTTAACTTATTATTATATTTGACTTTTAAATATTTTAGTCAAAAGTTAAGTTGTCTAATAAAACTTATGGCTGTGTTTGGTTTGCCTTTGGAATCATGATGTCAAAGTGCATGCAACTAAATAAATTTTTAAATCACTTTTCGAAATTCATAACCAAACACAACTGAAAATTACTCAAAACTTAATTCAAAAATTTATTTCAAAACTCATAAACAAACACACAATTCAAAACTTAATTCAAAACTTTTTTTCAAAACCAAACTCTTTTCAAAACTCTATTTTAAAAGAAAAAATTCAAAATTTTTTTTTTATTTTATTTTATTTTTTAAAATTATTTTTAGAATCATGATTTGAGTGTGAAGTTGTATTTTGAGTTGGTTTGAAGTGATGTGGTAGAGAGGTGATGTGGCTTAAATAAGATGATGTGACTTAAATAAGATAGCGACTTTTTGACTTTTTTTGAAGATGCCAAACTTAGCCTTAATAAAATATAAAATAGGTTAAAATAATTAATAAAAAAAAATTGTTACATCTAACATATAATCATGTTACCTTTTCTCTTACAACCTTTAAATCAACCACAAGAAAAAAATTAACTAACTTTCTAAATACAATTTTTTTAATCACGTTAAAATAATTAAAAAGTCAAATAACTAACTAAAATAGCCAATTTCTCAAACAAGGTCAAATTATGATGAATAAAAAATATTTTATATATATATATATATATTTATATTATATTATTTATGACTTCTGAGTGTGGATAAAATATTAAAAATTAAAATATTTACAAAATAAAATAAAATGTTTAAAAGAAAAAAAATTAAAGTAAAAACTATATATTTAAAATAAAAAAATGAAATTTTCTTAAATATTTTTTAATACAAAAAATTCAAAAACGCAAAACTCAAAATACAACTTAAGACTTTTTTCAAAATTCAAACTTCAATTGTTTTTTCAAAACTTCTTTTAATACTCATAATCAAACAAATTTTCTTTTTTCAAAACTCAACTCACAATTTCATATTCAAATCACAACTTCAAAAAGAAAATTACAATCCTAAAACTAAACCAAACTCAACCTACATTTTTGCTACACGTTTCGTATCTGGCACCCAATCAAACAAAGGAATATTTTTAAAAAATTCACTATTTTTTTTCCCTTAATAATTTAGCATTTTTTTTTTAATCAGACGAGAAGAGTCATACTATTATCAATAACTGAAGAATTAATTAATTAATTTTTTGTTAAACTACCGTCACTTTTGCCTATGGGAATATCTTTGCCTACAGGTGAGAATATCCTAATTTTTTAAAAGAAAAAAATATTTTTAAATATCTACTATAAAGACTAAAGACACTATTTGTTTCATTTTTTTAATTGTATAGATATTTTTTAATTGGGAAGATTGTACCGGTAATCCTTATATTTTATTCTTATGTCATTTTAGTCTTTATACTTTTAATTGACTCAATTAATTTTAGATTTTGTGTGAATTTGATCTAATTAATAATATCGTCAGTATTTTTTTTAAAAAAATTATCACTAAATTAGTATTGTTAACTCACTTAATTGAGTAAGTTCATAAATTTTTCCTTAAAAATAGGCACATGACACTTATGTTCTTATTTTTTATAAAAAATACTAAGAGTAGTAATTAATTGGACTAAATTAGGATAAAATCATAAATTCATTATCAAAATCGAGTCAATTGAAATTATAAGAATTAAAATAACACAATGATCAAATTACAAGAATTATCATCAGAATTTGTCCTTCTTAATTAGAAGGACCTTAAAAATTTGAAAATATTTTAATATATATATATTTTAAATTTACTAAAGCCAGAAAAATTCAAAAAGAATACGACACTTGTAACCTTCACCAAACATAGCCTAATGAGTAATGTCTTGTTAGCTTTTGGCTGTAATTTCAAGTGTAATTAGTTGTTGCTGTTAATTATTATTACTTATTAACGTTTTAAAAATTAGTAATAATGCGTTTGCCCTAATCATAATACAACACTTCACGCTAGGGTTTCCTCTTCTCTCTCTTCCTATATATACATTCGTATAGAGACAAGGTCATCCATATCTTCCTCTCGCAACCACGCATCGTCGAAGCAAGCGCTCATCACCGGCTCTCTCTAACCCTATCTCTCTCTTCATCACCTAAGGTATAGATTCATGTCTTCAAGTTTTCATCTATCGATTCATCGAATCTTTTGTATCGGTTTGATTTTCAATCGCTTTTGTTCCATCTGTAAAAATCTGATTTTGAATCGAATAGCTATATTGCTTTGGTTTGTCGTAGATCTGTTGAGTTCTTGTCTTTATTCTTTTGATTATATAATATTGGTTTTTCTTTTGTTTGGATGTGAATTTTGATATGTTTTATATTGTATTAGAGATCTGATTTTGTTTTGGTTTAATCAATATTGAGATTTGATGAGTTTGATTGATTGGTAGTTCAGATCTACTGATCTAGTAATTTTGATTTGTCTTGAATTGAGCTTAGTTTTTAATTTTGGGGATGTAGGAACAAAAGATTGAATTATTGGTAATTGATTTGGCTCTGAAAATTGACATCTTTATTAAATTGAAAAATCATTGATATAGAATACAGCTGATTTAGATACTTTTGTCAGCTGTATGCCAGATTGGACAACTGAATTGTGTTTATTTAGTAGTTGGAGTTGTCATTCCTGTTATTTCATATGATTTCTACATGATTTTGTACCTCTAAAAGTTGTTTGCAAAATTATATAGCTATTTGTGGTTTGTATTTTTATTTTCTATTTGGATTTGACTTTCTTAACATTATAAATTTTTATCATGTTCATAATAATTTACATATATGTTTATATTATCTTCCTCCTATTAGTAGACTAGATAGGAGATATAGGCAGTGGCTCACGTTTTATATGCTTGCATGGTTTTCTTTTCATTGCTTTCAATTATTTGGTTAGAATTTAGTCATCTTAGACACACCTTGCAATTATTTGGTTAGAATTTAGGTTCATCCTGAAAATCTCTTGTTTGTGTTGTAATGGCATGAATGAGTGATTAACAGATGGGGAAAATAATCCTGTTGAGGTGTATGTACTGTATTCTACTGGATAGCTTTGTATTTCTCCCAACTAGTAGTTGGCCTTAAATGTTGATTTATTCTTAACCCATATAATAATGGGTTTACAATATCAGGCTTGTAATTCTGTGATCTTGTTTGATGAGTTTGGTTAAGTCATTTTTGTCAACTTGCTGAGTGTAAGACTGCATTACAAAACTCACTTTTGGGCCCTTCTGTTGGCTACTTGGAATGTGATTGACCACGTTCTTGCCCTCCCTTTCCTTCTTTTGTTGGTGCTTAGCCTTGCTTAGACTTTTGAGTTGGTCTTTTATTCTCCACTGTCACCCCCATTGCATCGAAACTGTTGATGGATTAAATGGTGTCTAACTTCCTTTTCTGATCGATTATTAATGTATTTATGCTAATTTGTTTTATAAATTTATTTGTTTATCTCTAACCTTGTGATTATTTGGTTCCAGGACATTGGCAAATTAATCTGCAATATCTGCAGTTAGCCAAAGTGGAGTGTGTTAAGTTCGAAGCTTCTTTTATGTCTGAACGTGCCTCTCTCTTTTTGTCATCAATTGGGTTGCTTGGAGAGTACTGTCCTTCCTCTAGAAAAAAGAACAGAAGTTCTTTTGAAAAAGTTGACTGCATGCCTCTTAGGCCTTTTGTGTACTATAGCACACATTGTGACGGTTGCCAGTTTATGCGGCCTTTTCCACTTGCTAGGAATTCATCCAATTCTGAAAAACAGATTCTTGGTAAAAGAGTCACCTTGTTCCCCTTTTGATAAAGTTCAATCCAGCATACATATTTTGTGGAACACAAGATGGCTTTACAAAATATTGGCGCTGGTAACAAGGATGATGCCTTCTATAGGTATAAGATGCCCAGAATGATAACAAAGATTGAGGGTCGAGGGAATGGCATCAAGACCAATGTGGTCAATATGGTTGACATTGCAAAGGCTTTGGGTAGACCCGCTTCTTACACCACAAAGTTTTTCGGTTGTGAGCTTGGAGCCCAATCCAAATTTGATGAGAAGACTGGAACATCACATGTTAACGGGGCCCATGACACTTCCAAGCTTGCTGGCCTTCTTGAGAACTTCATCAAGAAATATGTTCAGTGCTATGGCTGTGGGAATCCTGAAACTGAGATAATCATTACTAAAACCCAGATGATTATTCTAAAATGTGCGGCTTGTGGGTTTTTGTCAGATGTTGATATGAGGGATAAGCTCACAACTTTTATTCTGAAGAACCCTCCTGAGCAGAAGAAGGGATCGAAAGACAAGAAGGCCATGAGGAGGGCTGAGAAAGAGCGGCTCAAGGAAGGGGAGGTGGCTGACGAGGAGCAGAAGAAGCTGAAAAAGGATGTCGTAAAGAAAAAGGGCTCCTCTACTAGTTCCAAGGTTGTGGCTGCCAAAACATCAACCAAGAAGAAAACTACCGTCTCTGATGAGGACCACTCTCCTGCTGGCAGTCAAGCAGATGAGAATGAAGCAGCAGCAGCAGCAGCAGTCGACACTGATGATGACGATGGTGATGACATCCAGTGGCAAACTGACACATCTGTGGAGGCAGCTCGGCAGCGGATTCAGGAACAGTTGAGTGCTGTTACAGCTGGTATGGTGATGCTTTCAACCACTGAAGAGAAGCCGAAGTCAGTTAAGAACTCTCCTGAACGTGAAGAGAAATCCAAAGTTAATGGGCATGCTAACGGTGTCAAATCTATTCATCCTCATGAGAAGCTTGTTGGTGAGATCAAGGAATACCTCAACAAGGGTTCCCCTGCTAGCCAGCTCAAGTCCTTTCTGGGATCTCTTTCTGGTACTCCCCAGGAGGTCATGGATGCCCTCTTTGAAGCTCTCTTTTCCGGTGCCGGAAAGGGGTTTTCGAAGGAGGTAGCCAAGAAAAAGAACTATCTTGTAGCTGCCACTCAGGAGGAGGGATCGCAGCTGGTTCTGCTTAATGCAATTGAGGCCTTCTGTGTTGGGAAAGCCAGCCCTGAGGCGGTGAAAGAGGTGGCATTGGTTCTCAAAGTGCTCTATGACAATGATTTGCTGGAAGAAGAGTTTGTAGTGGAGTGGTATAAGAAAGGATTAGGTGGAAGCAATAAAGGCTCACAGATCTGGAAGAATATCAAGCCCTTTGTGGAATGGCTCCAGAGTGCCGAGTCTGAATCTGAAGAGGAGTGATAAGTCAGGATGCACTTCTGCAACCTTGCCCACCCAGGTGGGTTTCCAAGCTTTTCTCGCAATTTGTTGGTGATGTGTTTGGCTGTTTGGTATTTCTAGTGGACGTGAAATATTATGTGCGTGTGTGTGTGTGTGATCGCGACGAATAATGGCTGTTGGTGTTGGCTTATGTTGTCTAGGTTGAGGTCCGGCGGGTGGCTAAGGTGAGATTGCCGCCCGCCGGGGAAGCGAAAATACCAAGTTCTAAACCCGCTCTGATACCATGTAAAATAAACTGATATATATTATTGATTGTTATTGATATATTCTGTATATTACAACTCCTATATATAGAGGAGAAGATGGTAGTGGAGTGTGTGATAGTGGAGGTGGTAGGTGTGGAGAAAGATAGTGGAGGTAGTAGGTGAGTGGTAAATTCTAACAGAGGACACAAGAAGATATGGTTGCTTCACATACTTCATAGGTTGATTGATGCTTTGCTGACTGTTGGGGAAAGCTCTTCTTTTAATTTGATTGACCAGCTAATTTTTGATAAGTTGTACATAGATACGCATTATGAGTTTCAGTCATTGGATTTGATTCACTGCTGGATAGATGGAATATTTAAGTTGTGTCAAATTTCAACCAATAGGTTGTTACTTCAGAACTTGAGTAAAATGTTGGATTTGTCTGGAAATGTTGACATATTATTCTTGAGAATTTTAGCACATGTTATCAGTACACACTTTAACCTTACTAGAAGTCTGAAACAACTCTAGGATGCAAATTTCCAAGATGATAAGTTAGCTTATTTTTGTATTTGACACATTCACATTCAATAAAATTTCTCTACATTTTATCTTGATTTCTCAGGAGCTAGATTCATCCTTTTCCAATAATTTTTGGACTTTGCTGATAAATAAAAAACAAAAATATTTTGTTTTTTTTTATTTACTAATTTCTTTTAACATACAAATTACCGTTTTCTATAGCCATCACTGTTCGAGATAAACTCGAGTCATTGTGCCGGGAGTTACAACGTCAGAACAAAATGCTAATGGTATGGTATACCTTTTCTTTCAGCCACGGCTGCTTCAATTGATCATGTAGTAATGTTTCGTTTATATATATTTCTTCCCTCCTGCAGATGATCAGATTATGTCAACCATTTGGGATAAATAAATAATGTTTGCGGAGTTATGGTAACTCCTCCCTTCCTCCAAAAAGAAAGCCTGTCAAAAAAGAAACCACCAAAAAGTTTTTTTTTCCCATGCAAATTTAAATGAATTTTTCCACCAAGTGGTGTTGGGATATAGCTAGTGGAGAACACTGACTGCCAGAGAAGGTGAAGCATAGCTTGATTTATGTCCTTGAAATTGGTTACTTTTTCTGTAGACCTTGGTTACTTGTCTTATCCATAACATCTCAAGGGTTATAAACTGTTTGATGGTAGAGTGTGAAATCTATGGATGTAACTAGTCAAAAAAGAAAGCCACCAAAAAGAAAGTATATTCTGCGTAGAAGAGTCTAGTTTGGTTGTTGTTTGGTCACTTTTTTATGACACTATTTTGGGCTATTGTGTGCACTCATATTCTGTTTAATGAAATCATCAATAGCCATTTTTGGCTTATTTGCACACTCATCACTTAGAAAAGTTTTTAAAATTCTGGATCATGTCATTTTTGGCATATCCTTATGGTTGATAGTTTGTGATTCAGTTTTTTGAAATTTATTGAACAATTGCAGTGAAATTATTTATGGCCTTGTTTGGTTTGTGTTTCTCAAAAAATTTTGGGAAAAATTCTCTATAAATAAGTTTTCAAAAGTAATCAAACCAAACAAATTTTCCCAAATTTTTTTTCCAAAACTTGTTTTGGTTTACAAATTTTCCAAACAAATCTCTCTCTCATACACATCAAATCAATCACTTTTTCCAAAACTTTTTCTCAAAATAAATTTTCAAAACATCTTTTGAAAAAAACCAAACCAAACAAATTTTCGTACTTTTTATCTCAAAACATGTTTCTCAAATACAAACCAAACAAGGCCTATGTGTTTGCTATTTGATCCACATCTCAATTTATCTTGGTTGATTAAAAAATTAAACTGTAATATGACTATTCATAATTTCTCTTTGCTTTCAGTTATTCTTTGTAGAGTTAGTGATGTCTTGCTCGTTGTTTGGCAGGATGAATGCAAGCGGGTATCAACGGAGGGGCAAAACTTGAGATTAGATCTATCAAGCAAGTTCCGCGACGCAATTAAGGTGTCCATGATTTTCCTTTTTTCTTTGAGAATCGTAGCTCAAATTTTGTGGCTCAAAAGTGGCTCAAATGGTCAAAATGACGTCGTTTTGAGTACAGAACAACATAAAAATGGCCAAAACGACGTCGTTTTGGCCATTTGAGCCACTTTTGAGCAACAAAATTTGAGCTACGAGACATTTTTCTAAAGTTAATGCTACGTTTGTCTTAGCCTGTTGAGCCGCATTGAGCAATATCAAACCAAAGGGCTTTCTAAAGTTAGCAATGGTGAGCTAAATCGATTGTAAATTGATTGCAAAACATGGTATTTAGCTCAAAGCTTGGCAGTCACTTTTTGTTATATTTGATTTTTTTTTTTGGCTAAAAATTAATTGATTTTTCCTACCGAAGTTACTAGTTCCACAAATCAAAACTCACAATTAAAAAATGCTAAAATTGTTGAAAATTATTCAAAATTTAGTATTATTGAGTTTTGTAATTCTAGAAATTAAAATTACAAAAGTTAAATTATTCTAGCGACCACAATTTATCTACCTTCAAAAAACAAGAAATTGAGAACTTTGCTACTCATTTAGATCAGTGATAGGGAAAGGTTTGGATAATCTTACAGTAGATCGTGACTGCAAAGGAAAATTTTAATATAATACTGAATTATTTGGGGACAAAACTTATTTAATGTTTCATTTGCCAGAGGTTAAAATGTTAGTGTCATGATCCGAACCCGTCCCTAAAAGTTTAGATAATAATTGGCCTGATCATACAGAATATTTATGCTAATGGGGTCATAAACGGAAGCATATAATAATGAGAAGTCCATTGAGCTATACCAATCATGAGGAAAATCATAGAGTTAACCACGTAATACAATAATACATATACATGTCCATCAAAAATATAAGAGCCATAGGAAAATTATACATAGTGTTTACAACCCAAGATTATGAAAGTAAAAACATAATAAGGTCAAAGTGTGGTGTGAGTCCAGACAAAATTTCGTTTCGGAGGCATGTCTCGATTGGGTCACAAAAAGGCTCTCGAAGCTAACATTAGGGGTGTGCTCCATGCTTCTGATCACTTACATGTGCATACATAAAATTGGATGAGCGAAACTCAATGAATAATAACACAGTAAAACAGTGTAAGTAGATGATCATAAGGTTTTCACAATATTTATAATCATATAAACCAAGAGGCCTTAGGCCCAAGCATATAACAAGCGACCTCGGGCCCAATTGTATAACCACCGATCTTAGGCCCAATCATATAGCGAGCGGTCTCGGGCCCAATCATATAGCACATGTCATATAATTTTAATGAAGTTTCCCATTTCAATTAAATCGCAATGTTGGCACCAATCACCATTCATGGTTCGAGGTACACAATAAAGAATATATATGTATGATATTATTATTCACAGTACTTAGTCGGATGATACCCCTTAACGACTCAGCCTGCAGAAACATAACCAAGCATAACATTTCAAAACACATTGCCTTCAATTCACTTAATCTGTTTATTCGTTACATATGCGTTCAATCGCTCCTCACTCTTTAATTTCTCTCAAGTGTTTAAATAATTCCTACAACAATTTCCTATGTTTTTCATTGAAAATATCATGTTTACATATTTAAGGTTTAAGAAAATAGCAAGAAGTGAAAGGAAACTAAGTTAGAGTAGAGAATGGCATGAAATGATTAAAAAAAAATAAACAGCCTACACTAATTTAACATATCTATTTGTGTAGTTAGAATTTGGATACGAGACCACCACCATTAGAAACTAGACTTTTAGGGATTGAATTTAGGCTCAAGAATCACTTAAAACGGAGTCCGGATGAGGAAGATATACTTGTTTGAAGTTACCAGGTATAAGTTGAAACAGGGTTGGCCACACGTACGCCCACTTTGACCGCTCGTGCGGTGGTTGGGCTACTCGAGCGGTGGTTCAAGCAGAATGCAATTTCTTGTTTTTGTTCATGTTTTGCTCGTGCGGAGCCTGTGGCCACTCGTGCGGTCTGGGCAAAATTAGACAGTTAAAAAATTCATCAAAGATTAAGTTTTCAAACCCAATTTCAAGTCAAGATCTCATGTAATCTTCCTTTAAAACATGAAATACTAATCTTATACAAGTGTAATCACAACTCAAACACATCGATTTTGCTTAGAGTTCAAAATCAAAGTTTCATCTTTTCATAAATTCAAGATTTCATAACATACAAGTTCAAAATACATATATCCATGAATAATCTTCCAACAAATCTTGTTTTCATGAATCATCTAGGGTTTGTTTCATGGGTCAATTACAAGAATGAACTTAAATCAAACAAAGACTACGAGGTTATGGTTCACTTTCATGCATTTAGCTCAAGCCACCATACAACTCAAAACCCTAGCTCAGATTTCTAATTTCTTCTTGATTTCATGACAAAGATGAGTTAGAGAAAAAAATTGCAAGTAAATTAACATACTTTAACTCAAATCTAAGGTTTGCCCCTTGATTCTCTTGTAATCCCTAGCTCTTCCTCTTTTTCTCTCTCTAACTCACTCTATAGAGTTCTCAACAAAAATGAAGAACACAAGTGGACCAACACATATATGACTTGACCCTTAAATTTCTAATCTAATCATTACGAATCGTAATTTTTTAAAATTTCACCGTAAGCTTTATAAATCATGCTAATCACAGATATGGAGTCGGTTTTTGTTTATCGCGCCTTTAAGGCTTTCAATTTCAGTTCAAAGTCAAAATTGCAACAGATATTCCTACATTCAACAGATATTATTCCAAATCTACATAATTCACATATTCAAACTTGGAAATTCATATCAAACACATAATCAAATGTATAATTGAGTAGAGTATGGGTTAGGTTATCACAGTCATCTTATTAATTAAAAGAATTTATTTAACTAAATAAATTCTTAGTTCATTTGTTAAATTCATTCTTTGTCTAAAACTCCAATCTAGCCAAATTTTCTTATGTTAAAAAGCTATTTAAAAAGTTAAAATTTTAAAAATATATTAAACAAATTAATTTTTTTAGCATCAACTTTTTATCGACTTAATTTTCACCAATAAATTAATTTTCCAGCTAACTCTCCCATGGCCTTTTTTTCACTAGGGTTGTTTTGACTATGACTTAAAGTTAGTTTTTTTACTTATTACGAAAAGATGTGTAACAAAGTAGAGATGTGATGTAATTTTGATAAGGGTCTTTTTAATTCATTTCAAAAGAGACCTAAATATTAAAAAGATTCATGCGAGACATATTATTAATAGTTACAAATATGTCACATCATGTGATAACTAAAATTTGTAGTATTTTTCTAAACATACGTGTTAGAACATCTCCAATCCAACCAATGGGTATATAAGAGCATCTCCAATAGTGATGTTAAATTTATGAATTAAAATGTGTTATATAATAAAAAGTGTAGAAAGTGGAATCCATTTGTATGTGTTAAGTATTTGTTAGTCTAGAGAAGAGATGTGTATTCCAATTAGGGCTATGTATAATACCGTCAAAATCGCCAAAACCGCACCGAATCGCATCGAACCGCGCAAAATTTCAACTCTGGCAGGTGGGTGGGGGGCCTAGCATTGGCGGGTCGGCACGGGTGGGGGGTGAAATTTCCCAACCCGTAGGTCTAACCGACCCAACTTGACCAGCCTATGTTTCAAAAAATAAAAAAAATAAAAAAAATCACCTGTTATACACTCACACACACACACACACAATAATTCCTCAATTAAACCTAGTACCCACACATTTCAATTTCATCTCATTCACACACACACACATCTTCGCTGCTGTTAGGGGTGTGCGCGGTGCGGGTCGGTGCGGTTTGAGAGAAAAATAGAAACCGTATGGCGGGTGGCAGATTGATAAAAGTGTCACTAGAATTTGCCATTTTCCTTATCAAAAACCGGCGGTTCGGTTGGCAAATAATGGCGGATTTGCCTTGGCGGTTCGGGCGGATTGGCGGTTTATAAAAAATATAATTCAAATTACAAAACTTAAATCAAAGAGTAAAAAAAAGACGAGAGATATCGTGATGTTAAGCATCTTGCGAAGCTTCCTTCTGATGCAGTAAGTGTAGCAACAACATGATAATATCAACGACTATGCCATCAGTTCATTACAAGTATCTGTGGAAACTGCAATGATCAAATACAATACATAAAATTGCAGTAATGTAATACTATATTCTAAGGTATAGAACAACAAGCAATCTTAAGTAAAAAAGAATTTTTAGAATCTTATAAAACATGATTTAATAGCGGTGCGGGTCGGTGCGGTTTGGAAGAAAAATAGAAACCGGCGGATTGATAAAAGTATCACTAGAATTTGCTATTTTTCTTACAAAAAACCGGCAGTTCGATTGGCAAATAATAACGAATTTGCCTTGGCGGTGCGGTTCGGTGCGGTTTTGACGGTATTATGCACACCCCTAGCTGCTGTGCACAACATTGCATCAATTCACATACACACAGATTTATCGCCGTTGTTGTGTCGATTGGCTCACCGGTGTTTGCCTATCCTTACCGCCGCCGTTGGTTTTTCTTTCCCTTGCTGTTCGGCTCACCAATGTTAGCCTCTTCTCGTCGTCGTCGACTCATCTGTACTCTCTTTGTTTTTTTTTTCTTTCTCTCTCTCTCTCTCTCTCTCTCTCTCTCTCTCTCTTTCTCTTTTTTGTTTCTCTGCTCTCTCTCTATTCAATATACATAACATCAGCGATACTAGTTTGAGTTGGTATTAGGTAAATAAATGGCCCGGCTGAGGCTGACCCTTGTTAAAAAAAAAAAAGAATCTTCAGATCCATTGTGCCTCAAATTTCTCACTTTTCCAAATACTTCTTTTTTTTTTTTAAAAAAAAAAAATTAAGCAAATTCACAAGGCATTGTTGAAATTAAAGTGAAAAATATTTTAAAAGAAAGTAAAAAAGTTAAATGGTGATTAAATTTCAGTAAAAAGTGTACTGAATTTAATTTTTTTTCTCTCTCTTATATTTCAAGAACACTTGTTAGTAAAACA